TGGGCTTCAGTTATTTGGGCCATTCCACATTCTTTTTTAAAATTTATTTATTTATTTATTTATTTATTTATTTATTTATTATGTATACAATATTCTGTCTGTGTGTGTGACTGCAGGCCAGAAGAGGGCACCAGACCTCATTACAGATGGTTGTGAGCCACCATGTGGTTGCTGGGAATTGAACTCAGGACCTTTGGAAGAGCAGGCAATGCTCTTAACCTCTGAGCCATCTCTCCAGCCCCCATCCCACATTCTTGAATGCAAGTTAGCATCAATGAATTTGTCCTCATTTGCAGAGGAAAGGACTGAAAATTTCTTGTTTGGGAAAGCGGTTTTTTGTTTGGTTTTGTTTTAGTTCCATGGTGCTGTTTCAATGAGATGGAGTGGACAAGGCTGCCATCCAGGGACCCTTAGGAATCTCGTCCTCATTTGTTTTCCTGCCCCTTAAAGGACAGTTTCCCAAAGGTCTTCCTTATGGCTGGCTTTCCTGGGTCAAAGACAAGCATCAGGGTCCTTTGAATGAAGGGTAGATCTCTTGTCAGGTTATGTCTTGCTCCTTTCAGAAGTCGCTGCATAGGCGTCAGTCACACGGGTTTGTAGAAATATCTGTTTAGAAGATGATCAGGATTGAACGTGATTCCCTTGCTCTTTTTAACACACCGTCGTGGATCCCACTTAGAGTGAGCATGGCTCCTTTCATCGTTTTCGCAAGGTTCAGGCCACCCTCTCCTCTTCCAAAGTTCATAGTAGCTGAACTAGGCCTTCTTCACATTTCTGGCTTCTGTGTTTGGTGGGTCACTGACTCTCTGGACAGAATAGGAATCTCTGCTGTCTTATGTCTCTCGTGGTTTTCCCTTGACAATCCATGGCTGGGCTCCTGGCTTCCTCCTTGTGTGGATTTCAAGCACCGAGTCATTGCTCCTCTCAGAGGGCTCCCAAGCTTGGAAACCTGCCAGCGGATTGGATTTTCATTTCCTGAAACTTCAACCAAACCCATAATTCGTGTGACAGACCAACAAGCTAGCAGGAACTCAGAGGAATGAGAGCTGGTACAGCTGGGCTCCTCTGGAAGGACCCTGGGAGGGTGGCCTGGCTAGTCATGCCTGTGGGAGGAAATCAGGGTGCACTAGGTAGACGTCCAAGCTTGGAGTCTGTTTTACAAAGTGGGTGTATAAAAGGCACACCAGTGGGTGACAACTGTACCATTTTAACAGGCATAGGTGTTTCCCACACATTTTAAATGGTGACCCCTCTAGCCGGTATGTTACTCATTTTCCTTTCTCAAACCCAGAAAGTTGTTGACTTTAACATTAGAAAAACCTAGAATCTCTCAACATGACCGGATTCTTCTATTTGTTTGATCTACAAGTGAAGAAATGAGTGACCTGGTGGATTTTTACTGTGACTGATTCAGTGTTCCAAGCCATTATCATCTTTCTTCATTGTAGGTTGTTGATAAAATTAGTTTTTATTTAACTAAGACTACAGTGACATTGTGTACCAGTGCCAGTGGTGTTATTGCTAATTTACTCAAGCTCCCGAGATCAGTATAATCTCTTTTATATCTTGAAAGAGAATTGAGGCGTAGGACTTTCCCAGGTCACGGCTAGTGAGAGACTGAATCTAGGATGGGATTCTAGTCCCACCTAAAGCCTGGCCCCCAGTTTTGTGGCATCTAGCTATGTAGCTCTGCCTACTACTTTCTGTGTATTTAACGGTCAGGCTTGTAGGTGTGTAGTGTAATGTATGCATGTGTATGTGTTTTTGAGTGTGTGTAGGTGTGCATACACATGAGTACATACATGGAGATCCAGAGTGGATGCTGGGTGTCTTCCTCCATCTCTTTCCATTTCAGTGTTTGAGATAGGGTATTTTGCTGAGCCTGGAACTCACAGGATAGGAAATAATGTCTTTATGTCCTACGGATCCTCCTGACTCTGCCTCCCTGGCACTAGGACTGATTACAGGTGGGCACCTCCATGCCCAGACTTTTATGAGGATTCTGGGGTCCAAACTCAGGTTCTCATGCTTGCTTAGCAAGCACTTTTAGTGCCTGGTTCTTCTCCTGGCTTCTGAACACCTCCCAGCCCATCATCCTGTGGATGAGTAAACTCCCCCCCCCCATGATGGTTTCTTAGAGTAGTTTTGGATCATTTCAAGTCCAGATGGGAGGAGTGAAGCAAAGCCCTCATAGGGAGGATAGCAATGAAAAACAGTAATTCAACAACCTCCATTAAGGCAAGATGAGCACCAATGGAGTCAGGAACATCTTAGCAGGTGGAGTGAGCAGGCAGGGAACTTTGTGGTGAGGAAGAGACTTTGATTCTCAACTCAGCAAGGGAAAATGGGAACCTACAGCATGGAGCAGTGTCTATGGATGAGAAATTGGTAAGAGACAGTATAGGTGAGAGAAATCTGGTTAGCCTGACTTTGACAGGGTTTCTACTGAAGGCAAGTCAGGCTCACCAGGTATCCTTTGAGGATGATAGAGGACTATTGAAAATTGGGATTCTCAGTAAACAGATTTATCAAGGTTTCATTAAACTAGATTTTATTGAGGGAGTGTGCAAAGGTTCAGAGGATGGCTTGCTTTAGAAAGGGACTTGTTGCTGATGGCATCTCTGCTTAATATTGACTTTTCACACATGACTGCCTAGGAAATGACCCAGGGACTTCTTTTCATAACCACACATCATCGAGTCGGTCAAAGTAATTAGGTCGGCATGTTAGGGCTTGGGATAGTAAACAGGTTGGGGGGTGGATTTGTATATCATTCACTGTTTCTTCCTTGTGATGGGTAGCTGACAAAACAGCTTACAGGAAGGACTTATTGTGGATCATTGTTCAGGAAATGGCCTAGGACCACCTCCTGTCTGCATCAGTGGGAGCTTGAAGCTTCTCGCTGTCTTCTCGTAGATCAGGAAGCAGGAGCTCTAGCCAGAAGCAGAGCCAGGGAATAGAGCTGGCCTGTAGAGCGCAAGTCCCATGCGGTCCTAGCCTATGTCCAAAGGTTCACGCCCTTCTGAAATAGCACACTAGCTGGGGTGTTATTTCACATTGCTATAAGGAACTTTTTTAATTAATTAATTAATTAATTAAAGATTATTTATTTATTTATTAAAGATTTCTGTCTCTTCCCAGCCACCGTTTCCCATTTCCCTCCCCCTCCCCCAATCAAGTCCCCCTCCCTCGTCAGCCCAAAGAGCAATCAGGGTTCCCTGCCCTGTGGGAAGTCCAAGGACTGCCCACCTCTATCCAGGTCTAGTAAGGTGAGCATCCAAACTGCCTAGGATCCCACAAAGCCAGTACGTGCAGTAGGATCAAAAACCCATTGCCATTGTTCTTGAGTTCTCAGTAGTCCTCATTGTCCACTATGTTCAGCGAGTCCGGTTTTATCCCAGGCTTTTTCAGACCCAGGCCAGCTGGTCTTGGTGAGTTCCCAATAGAACATCCCCATTGTCTCAGTGTGTGGGTAAACCCCTCGCGGTCCTGAGTGCCTTGCTTGTGCTCTCTCTCCTTCTGCTCCTGATTTGGACCTTGAGATTTCTGTCTGGTGCTCCAATGTGGGTCTCTGTCTCTATCTCCTTTCATTGCCTGATGAAGGTTAATATTCAGGAGGATGCCTATATGTTATTCTTTGGGTTCTCCTTCTTATTTAGCTTCTCTAGGATCACTAATTATAGGCTCAATGTCCTTTGTTTATGGCTAGAAACCAAATATGAGTGAGTACATCCCATGTTCCTCTTTTTGGGTCTGGCTTACCTCACTCAGGATAGTGTTTTCTATTTCCATCTATTTGCATGCAAAATTCAAGAAGTCCTTGTTTTTACTGCTGAGTAGTACTCTAATATGTATATATTCCATACTTTCTTCATCCATTCTTCCATTGAAGGGCATGTAGGTTGTTTCCAGGTTCTGGCTATTACAAACAATGCTGCTATGAACATAGTTGAGCATATACTTTTGTTGTATGATAGGGCATCTCTTGGGTATATTCCCAAGAGTGGTATTGCTGGGTCCAGGGGTAGGTTGATCCCGAATTTCCTGAGAAACCGCCACACTGCTTTCCAAAGTGGTTGCAAAAGTTTGCATTCCCACCAGCAATGGATGAGTGTACCCCTTTCTCCACAACCTCCCCAGCAAAGGTGTTTTTTATTTTAGCCATTCTGACAGGTGTAAGATGGTATCTTAAAGTTGTCTTGAAAGCACATTACTTACTAAAGCTTAGGCAACCCTGTGAGACTCATGTAGAAGAGTCCAAGGCAACTGTCCCTGGTGTTCAGTTGCAGGCCACCAGTTCCACGGCAGGTGCCTTGAGGAACACACCCATAGAGTTCCTCTAGAAAGGGTGTTTCTGGTCCTGCCAGCCACTCCTCTGCTGTCCCGCTCTCTGAAGACCCCCTTCCATGGACATTTGCAGGGAACTCCATCTTATAAATGTGTCAGCCATGGTACCCACTTTGCAGAGTCAGGCTCGTTCAGTTACCTGGCCAAGGATGACTCTAGGAAGGGGCACAGGTAGAAGGCAGCCCCAGGTCTTTGCCTTCTAGGCCTGCCGTTGCCCTCTGTAGGGTGGGGATTTTGATGTTTCTCTTTGATGGTCTTGTGTTTTTCTCCCATGAATCTTCCTTTTGTTGAATGTAACTGGGAGGAGCCATTATTGTTTCCCTGCTGAGAACCATGTAAGTGAGGAAGGACTTGGAATTCCAGGTTCAGCCATGGGTGCTCCTGTGTAGACAGGGCCATCTGCCTGTCCCCACTTCTTCAAGGCCAGGCTCTCTTGGTCGCAGTAGTTCAACTTGTCTCCCAGTCCCACTCATGAGTTTCTCTGTGTCCCATGGCATAAACACCCCAGGGATGAGGAGACCTGTGAAGGTGGAGGTGGAGTGAAGGCTCAAGGCCAGGGAGAGCTGCAGCTTGCTCTAGGACAATGTCACCTTCACCTAGAGTCCTCCAAAGCCAAACTGTACTGAAACATTACCGTGTGTGCTTTCCACCAGGGCACCTGGAAGAAGCCAGACACTCATCTCCTCATGCTGCTGACACAGCCAGGATGGCTTTGACATCAGTAAGTGGTTGATTCTTACATTGCTGCCCGTTTCCATATTCCTTTGTTCCTCTTCCACAGCTGTGAGCAGGTGGCCCTTTGTTCAATGTCTCTGAATTAGTCACTGTTCCGTCACTGTGAGGGGACACTGTGACTAAGGCAATTCTTACAAGAGGAAGTGTTTAACTGGGAGCTTGCTTACAGTTTCAGAGGTTTAGTCCATTATCAGCTTTGTAGGGAGTACAGTGGCATGTAGGTAGTTTCTGCAGCAGTAGCTGAGAGTTCTGTATCCTGATCTACAGGCAACATGGGCGTTTGAAACCCAAAAGCCCATCCCCAGTGATACACCAAGGCCACACCTCCTAATTCTTGTATTCTTTTCAAAGAGTTCCACTCCTAGTGACTAAGCATACAAATATATGACCCTATAGGGGCATTCTTATTCAAAATGCCACAGTTATGTGGGAAAGGGTGAGGGCAAGGATGGAGCCCAATATGGCACGGAGTGTCTGGAAAGCCATGTTGGGCAGAAGCAGGGTTGGTACACTCTGTGTGTGTTCCCTTCCTCCTTCAAGGCAATAGGTGTGCCTACAGGAGAGGAGGGATGGGGCAGAGAGCATCAGGTTAGGGAGGAGGGTTTAAGACAGCCCTACGAGTGTGTGCCTCTCGATGACTGGGGAACAGCCACACCTGCATAAGGCGTTTGCTTGTCCATTCTTGCTGGGAGCCCATTCCCTAGAGCTATAAGAGTCTTGAGCTCTACCGACTGAGCTAGTTGGTCGTGTTCCCTAGAGCAATAAAAGCCATTGTTTTTGTCATCCTCAAGCCTGACCAGTCCACTTTAGAAATCCCACATTTATGGATACTTACTGGCTAATAAGAATAATTTTCAGGGTTCTAGGAACCTAAGACACATTCCAGTGTTCCATTTTAGTGGGTCTCTGATATTTAAGGTTGTTTGTTTGTTTGTTTTTACTAGATCTCTTTTTAAAAATATTTATTTATTTATTTATTTATAATGTATACATTATTCTGTTTGCTTGTATGCCTGCAGGCCAGAAGAGGGCACCAGACCTCATTATAGATGGTTGTGAGCCACCATGTGGTTGCTGGGAGTTGGACTGAGGACCTGTGGAAGAGCAGGCAATGCTCTTAACCACTGAGCCATCTCTCCAGCCCACTAGATCTCTTTACAATTTTTAGAGCTCCATCCGGACAAAGTGTTTGGCACATCTTGGCCTTTCCTCCTAGGAGGGGAGCCTACTCTGAGGCTATTTGGATCTGGGCCAGACACTCACCTGATTTTTGAATCTGGAGTGTTCTGTTTAGATGAGAGATGGCTTTCACTGTCCCACCTCTCTAGCTTCAAGTCACAATCTTTGGACTCTCGAAGGAGAGGGCTGAGTTACTAATCGCAGATTATTAACCTTGGAGTATTCATGTTGCCATGCTTAAAATTCTCAACCTTTAGGCCAGAAAGACAGCTCTATAAGGTAAGAGGTGACCTGCATTCAATATTTGGAACTCACAGGGTGGAAGGAGACAACTGATCCTCACAAGTTGTCCTCTGATCCCTGTTTACACACATGTGCAACACACACAATGCATAAATTAGCTTTAAAAAAAATCTGAACACTTAGTGACCCCTACTAAGGATATCTGCTTCCAGAGGATGGTGCCTCATTATTCCTGAGGTCTGTGAGAGAGCCTGAGCAGAAAGGGGGCTGGAGAGGTCTTAGGTAAGAACCATTAGACATGGATGAAGTGGGATCTCCAGAAGAGGTCCAGCCACTGAAAGAATGAGGAGAGTGGAAATAAGAATGCCGAGCTACCAAGTTCTGAGGGACTGCCAAGTATGGGAGTGCAGCCTGGGGAGGGTCATGCGAAACGGACTAAGTAAAAGGATTGCTTTTTTCACATCTACACAGCACACAGTTGGGCCCCCAAATTCCCCTAAAAGGGCACCTGAACCCTCTGCACCAAGATGCCCATACTAGATAGGGTTACTTACGCTGAGCTAACAACACCCTGGTGAGGGTAGGTGGGTAAATGTTTGCCAACTCCAGCTGCATGGAAGAAGGGGCCCTGGTAGGAATAGCCGGAGGAGCCTGCATCTTGGGTTCATTCTAGCGGATTCTCAGCTCAGCTGAAAAGTGTGCACTTACCACACCTAAGGTTGTAGACAGGAGCTGAATGTGGTCTCTTCAGCAAGTGAGTTCTCAGACATGATGTGTTCTGATTCAGCCTGGCTTGTGATTTCACATCTCAGTGCTCGGGGGGTAACCTGGAGGAGGAACCAGAGCAATGGGATTCTAGCTTAGTGACTGTTGACTCTAAACTTGTATTCATTTTTGTCTTTGATTTTTTTTCTATGGAATCTCAATTATCAGTCCATGTTTCTTTATTTCAAAGAACAAATAAGAGAAACAAGTGAACCAGGAAACCAAAGCCACGAAACACATACTGTTAAGGATTCTAGTTAATTCAGATACAGAGTCTAATCATTCTAAGCAAGTAGTTGCAATACCATAGTTGGTGAATATGCTGGCTCTCTCCCTGTCATGCTGCTAACTTCCCAAACTTTACGGTGCATGAGAGATGTAACTGCTGGATCTCTTTTTCCATCCTTTAGGGGTCACCTCCAGGAATTGGACCTTACTATGAGAACCATGGGTATCAGTCTGAACATTTCTACCCGCCGAGGCCACCTGTGGCTCCCAATGGCCACAACCTGTATCCAGTCCAGTACTACCCGTCTCCCGTGCCCCAGTATGCCCCGAGGGTTACAACACAGGCCTCAGCACCTGTCATCCATACACAGCGCAGGTCCTCAGGGACACCGTGCACCTCAAACTCAAGTAAGACTCTTCGGCATTGTTTCTGGATCTGCCTTCTCTTGGGATCTTTTATTCCCCCTATATGTTGTCACTAACTCTGCGCTGGCAGCTAGAGCTGTCTGCCTTCCACTCTGTAGCTGGTCAGGGCTGTGGCACTAGCCTCACCTCTTCTTAGGCAGGGAGAGACCTTACTCTCCCCTGGGCTTTTGCTATAGCACCACTGTGTGCTTGCCTAGCTCAGTGGGTCTTTTGGTACATGGTTTATTATTCTTGCCTCTGTGCTTTTGCGTGTGTTGTCTTGAATCAATAGTAAGCACTCGAGGTTAGGAGTCTTACGTGTTATTGGTGTGCCCAGAAGACAGAGGGTTCAAGGTTAAGATAGCTCCTGCGGCTAGCCAGAGACATGTTACCACTCTCATGTCTGCCAGTGCTTGCCCCCAGCAAAAGGGTCTCCCCCACAAGGGGATTTCTCTCCTTCCAGGGTCTGCCTGTATCCTTTCTATGGGAGCCAGGCAGCTGTGGCATGACTGCTCTCCCATTCCCAATCACTTCTCTGTGTTTAGAAGACACGTTGGGAAGAGCACAGGAATGGATGTATCAGGTCCTCAACCCCCCTGTAATCCCAGAACCGTGCTGAAGGTTGAGTATGAAAGCTGAATGTCTTTACCCTGTCCTTGGCCTTTGTTCTCAGGTTATTCTCTCTCCAGATTCTTTACCCCTGTGTCCCCCCATGTTTTAATTCAGACTGTTGCCAGTGTCTATGTGGTGTAGAGGATAGATAGAAGTGGCTCTACTGATAAATTAGTTTTTTAGATTTAATTTTCATTTATGTGTGTGAGAGCGTGTATGCTACATGTGTGCAGGTGCCTATGGAGGCCAGAAGGTGTTAATCTGGAGCTGGAGTCGTGGGTACTGCGGGTGGTTGTAAACCACTCAACATGAGTGTTGGGAACTGAACTTGGGTCCTCTGGAAGAGCAGTAGGTGTTCCTAACTGATGGGATCTCTCCAGCTCTGCACAAGCTCTTAACAGATAGTTTCTGTTTTATGAAATGAGCACCAATCTGTATATGTCATGTTTACTTCAAGTTTGATAGGGAAGAGAATTCTGTGGGCCACCGATCACTTCATCAGCCATCAGGTGATAGGCCTTAGGCCTCCGGGATCTGTCCGTCCTATTTAGACCTTTCTGGCTCTCCTGCTGTCCCCTGCCTACTTCTCCTCCACTACTTGACCCTCTGTGTGGCTCTTCTGTCCTTTGCTCTGCTCCACCTCTATTCTCTTGCCCTCTTCCCTGTCTCTACAAACTCCTTTCGTTCTAGCCCAGCCAGGGTCAGCTAGACCGAGGTGCAGAATGCATGGCCATTCACACATCATGGTGGCTGGAAGAAAGCCAGGGTGAGGAACCTGTTATTTGTCAGAAGTCAAAAGGCCTATACAAGGTTGCACCCCCAAAAGACTGCCCTGCTATCAGCGGCCAACTCAGAAGGCAGAAGGGTCCCAGTGTACCTCACTGAATACGTCTACATTCCAAGGGAGTAATCAGGAAGTGACAGACATGGGAAAAATATGTTAGTTTCCTGCCAGTTGCCTATATATAGGCAGGATACACCCTAGGGTGTGATTTTCCACTATAAACCTGCATTGTAAAACCTCTGACTATGCTTGGATGAAATCTGATGGTCAGGCTTTCAGATTGGTGTCTTGGGCTTCCTACCATTGGCTTGCCAAAAGTACAGATTGATGCCCATGTCCCATGGACTGGAAAGTAATTTAGTAACTTTATGTTATTATCTTTTAAACTCCCCTTGACATTGTTTTTAAAATTATGTTACTGGGGCTGGAGTAATGGCTCAGCAGTAAAGAGTACTAGCTGTTCTCACAAAGCACCTGAGTTCTACAACTCCAGCTGAAGGGGATCCAATGCCACCTTCCAGCCTCTGAGGGCATGTGCACACACATACACACACCAAAAAGAAAAAAAAAACATGATGTTCACATATAAGACATAAAAAGTCTACATTTTTTTTGCCAGAATGATCTTGAGCTCTGGAACTGCACATTAAGTTGGAAGCATTAAATCAAAAGTCCCGAGTGTAAGGACATTCTACTTCGGGTTTATCAGTTGCTCTAGCAACTGTCATGGAGTGTTCCCATTTGAGCGGTAGTGTATGCATCTGCAAGAGCCTTTGAAGAATTCAAAGTCAACAGTCCTGTGATGCAGAGATACCACAGGGTTGAGTCAACAGGCTGTGCTGGTAGGGATGGATGTAAACAAACAGTGGCCCAAGACTGAACTGTGCAAATCTGTGCTGTGCTGACCGCAGCTGGTGACACATGCCTGCCCAGAGGTGAAATGGGGGCTTGTTGCTACAGACACGGTCCTGAGCAAACCAGCCAGAGTGTGACTCTGCACATGCCCCAACCAGAACTGAAGGACACCTGATTTAATCTCCCTTACTCATGAGCCAAGTTACTGATTTAGTGTTTGTTTTTTTCCCCTGGCTGAGCTGAGCTAGGCTCCTGAACACGCTAGGCAAGTGTTTACCTCTGAGACACAGGGCCAGCTTTAAGCAAGTTATTTTGTCTCAGGTACAATGGCATGCAGATAAGTTGCCCAAAGAGGAAAGTGTGCTTGGTAATTCATCAGGTGAGCCATCAAGAATTTCTCCTGTGGGTTTCTGGGTGGCTCCACCCTGGCGCCTGAAGGCATAGTCACCTCTCACTGGGTTTTGATAAAATCGCCGCCTGGTGAAGCTTTCAGACCTGAGCCTCTACTGTGAGGTTGCTGGGAGTACAGGTTGCCCGCTTTACCATAGGAGCACAATCCCTGTTGATAGGGATGACGACCAGTCCCCAGGAACTCTTTGAAAGCTTTTATGCCATTAACAGGATGCAGTAACCAGATAAAAGCAAGCCTTCTGGTCCTAAGCAGGTCAGCTTGGGTCTTTTGACTCCATAACTCAAGGTGACCCTGCTCTGCTGACTTCTGGAAGTACACTGCCTGTAACTGGGATTCACAGGCTTGAAGGCACTCTCTAGCCTGGGAGTGTCTGTTTCAGTGATATTTCCCTTGCCCTGTTTCTCTTCCTTTCTTTCAAAGAAACCTCTAGGGACCCCTGAGACTTGGACTTCACCTGGAGAGGGAGTTGTTGGGAGTGATGTGTCCCTCACTGTCAGAGGCCAGGTGTCAGATAAATCAGGGTCCCTTCCCTGACATCTGGTTCTTTCTTCTGATACTTGATGTTATTTTTGGTTCAAAACTCTGTCTAGAGTGCTATCCCTGTTTGCTATGGCTGGAGAAATCAGTGAACTATTAGAAAATAGTTCTCCAAATTATTTTATTCTTAGCTGAATTTTTACTCTTATTTTATGAGTGCCTACACCAATGTATGTGCACCATGTGCATGCAGGGCCCGCGTTGCCAGAAGAGGGCACTGGATCCCTTGGAACTGGAGCTAAAGATAGTTGTGAGTCACCGAGTGTTACCTGGGAACTGAACTCAGGTCTTCAACAAGTGCTTTTAAGCTACTAAGCCATCTCTCCAGTTCCTTGTTTGGGGTTTTGTTGTTGCTTGTTTGTTTTGAACATTTATTTATTTTTGGTGGGTGAGTTTCCACAGAGTATGCAGAGGTCAGAGAAGCATGTTGGATGAAACTCTCTCCTTCTACTATGTAGGATCTGGAAATCAAATTTTCAAAACTTTCTTACCCTGTCTTGGCAAGGTTTGGCAGTCTTTTTGCTTATATCCTGTTTATCCAGTCTGGACACAGTGCATTTTGTCAATGGTCAAAGCAGGGCCAGTTCTTTGCCCAAAGGCCAGTTTTGTCAAAAAGAAAACAAGCTCCAAGTGGAGTGTCTTCAGTACCCAACATTCTCTCTGGAATAGATCGGTGCTGCCAGGACCAATCGTGTCTCACATCAACAGAATCCTAAGTTATTAAATGCTATATTCTACAGTTCTCTAAAGTGGTTCAAGATTACCTATCTATGTGGAATACATCTCTATGTATCTAAAGAACCTGATTAGTATAACTATAAGTATGACAAACATGGATGACTATTGACCTATAATTCTTAATACCAATATAACTTAAAGACTAAGACTTCATATTAAAAATATTAAACAATATTTAAACAACTGTGCAGCAAATGAGTACAATGACCTCCAATTTTAAACAGTGTATAAGTATCTTGATCAGGGGTAGAAATGTGTAGTGCAATATGATAAATATACCCCAAAATTGCATCAATATACAAAATAACTTAAGCAGAGGTAGAAGCATGCATACATACAATATGAGAAAATAACTTTGCATAAGTGCACAAATATTGTAAACAGAAATAGGAGCATATTAATATAAGAAATATAATTTGAATTTGTATCAATACAGGAATCTATGCCAATGTAAATAGTGTAAATTGTCTATAAATTCTAGCTCTCATGTAATAATCTAATCTACCTATTATACTATCCCATCCAATCCCTCCTTTTTTTCTTTATCAAATGAGATCCTTGAGCTTACTTCATTTCCATCGCCAAACCTGCACCACTTATAACCAACCCCTAATAGATGTCCCTAATCCTGAGGCCAAACTTTGTTGGGAAAAGGGACATTGTTTTTAGAATTACTTCCAGTTGTTATGAAAATGATGTTATTTTTATGGGATCCTGTAAAAACTAAAAATGATGGTTAACTTTCAAGATTACTGTCTGGTATAATTGCAAATAGTCTCTGAGAAGTCGGTAGGGGTTTTCTGAAGTTCTTATTTGAAGTTCTGGCCAGAACATTTTGTAAGAAGGTGCACCATCTCAGCTAGCCAAGTTGAAATCTTCTTGAGCAGTTTGTAACCCAAAACTGATCTTAAGATGGTGCTATCAGCATGATGACATCATTGTTGTTGTGGGGCCCAATCTTCTTTCTGGAAACTTCAAAGATTACTGCAGGAAAGTTCATTGTTCATTGTGGAGAACTTAAACATTATTCATATAGACATATATTTAACAAAAGTGCCATAGAGA